GTGAGAATATATGATGAATTTGATGTTGCATTCAAATTCGTCACTGAACTTATATATAATGAAAGATTTTCAGCAATAACACTTGAATTTGTGGTATTACGTAATGTATTTACTGTCTCTATCTAAAAAAGAAAGATACTCACAATAAGAAAAGAAACGAAATTTTGCATAACAGACTTGAACTTCAGTTCTGGATATACAACTACCGTTAGATACTGACATGTGTGTAGCATTACCACAAGGTATGGCATATGGTGCCCATAATAGAGCGAAAGTAGACAAATGATTGCAGGTACATTCATATCGATCAAATGTTGGATTATATTGAGGTCTCGTACAACCGGATTCATTCCATTTCAAAGTAATTGTATTATAAAATGAACAAAAATATTGGGCGACACGATTTGGTTGAGATTCATTTAAAACTCGAAAATATAGAGAAATATTTGTCTGGGTTAATACAGAATCATTTCTCTGCACTGTCGCCACGATAACGGATGATGCAAGTGTTTTATCCGTTGAATTTTCTATATTTTTATATATTGTAGGTTTATCAATGATGAGCATATTGAGAGATGTAGCACCAGTTAGAGATTGGTTGCTGATAATAGCTGCTGCTGATAAATTTGAATTGATTATATCATTTGTATTTGCACCATTGACAATTTGGCCACCGATGCCACGTGTGAATGAAGCACCTAAAATGGTTACATTACCTCCTTGATTTACTGGCTGCGCTATAATGATTGAATCATTAGTGTTGATTGTTAAATTAACATTTCTGATATTGCTAACATAAGTATCAATTTCATTCTCTGTTAATTTATAAGTTGAATTTAATGTCGCATTCAGATTCATAATTAAACTGATGTACCGTGAAAGAGTGGTAGCCACAAGAGTTGAATTTGCAGGATTATTGCGCAATGTATTAATTGCAGTTATCTAAACAGACAATAGATAATTACAAAAAAATATCCATAGTTCATATCATACTGTAATTGCAACTATGGTTACACAATTACCATCGACCAATATATGAGTTTCATTTCTACAATAGTTTGGGTCTTGAGTAGTGGTTGTCGGCGCTGTAGTAGACGAGTCAAATATGAATATTAACATTAGTGTGCTTATTGCTTATATTATATAATATTTGGAAATACACATGACTCTGAACAACCTCTACACAGCATCATATTGCGAGTGAAGAATTCAGTGTTTGTTGCTTTATCGAATAATAGATTAGATTTTGAAAAATTAGGAATGAACAAATTTATGTAATTCCTTCCGTTGCGCAAAATTTCCAATAACTTTTTTGAATATCTTATGTCACAAAACAGAAGACGAACAATTCAAGAGATGTTTCATCAATCGATCGAGTATTTTTTAACAGGGTCATTGTAGGGTCGAAATTAAAATAAAACCTTTTTTTTTTGTATGAATCGTTTCCTAAAATTAAACTAGAGTTATGAAAAATTTTTTCAAACTCCTAAAATTTGATTTGTGAAGAATTTTGCCTTCTAGAGAACCATTATAAAGATTTTGAAAAAAAAAGTTTCAGAAAAAAATAGGAGTTCATTATCCTCGAGACATATGTTTGTACTTTTTGCACTGATTTGTTCAGAACAATGAAAAACTTGTACTACTATATAAATACTTGACTCTTTCAGGAACCTATTTTCGCGACATGTTCGTTTAGTTTTATATGCTCTTTCAAATAAGATTTCGCCCCAACAAAATACATGAACAATGGAGATCACTTTTATTTTTCTAAAAGTTTGTCATATTTCAATGCTTATAACTTAATCAAATCAAATTGTATGAGTCTAAGAATTTTTTCATAGCTTTAGTTTATAATATAAATATTTCATCTTATTATTAATGTTTTTCTAATATTTGATTAAATTAAATTTTTAAAAACGCGTTTAAAAGATTTTGATCTATTTTAAAGATTTTTGCAAAGAAAAAACATTCTCTCTGAATTTTTTTTTTGTTTTGGATTCTTACCTGTTACGAAGTTATCATTAAATCGTATAGTTCGTTTTAATATCGATTCATTCTTGAAATTGAATAATATATTTGTATAATTTTCTTTTAAAAATTCTACATTTGATTGTACGATAGTTTTATGATAAATTATAATTATTAAATAAATAAATAAAAATTTTTCTCTATTAAAACTGTTCATTTTGTTAAAATAAAATTATTGATATTCTTGTTTTTTACGAGACAATATTTATATGCAAATAAAAAGAAGAAGTTCATGATAATCGAAGTGTAAAGTGTAATTTAATATATTCGTCTAGCTTATAGACGTATGTTTTGAAAATTTGAATAAACAGCAAAACTAAAGTACGAAAAAAAAATCAGGACTTTTCAATATTTATTCTATTCTGAAATCAATACTATTGATAACACAACATTATGTCTTTAAATCAAGTCTATATGTAAGAATTATCGTTATTAATAATTTTCAAAATATATTTTATTTATAAAAAATTTTTAATTAATTTTTTTGTGAAAATAAATTTATCATCAAACATTCAAATATTATGATCGATAACAAAAAAACTAATTTGTATCTTAGATATTTTATATAAATTTTCTTCATGCATATAAAAACAAAATGTTTATTATCAAAATAATAATCAAGATATAAACATCAGTGATTACCAAAAGTCTCGACAGAATATTTCATTTTGATATATAATATATTTACTTGTAGAAAATAAAATATTTACTAAACTGTTAGACGATACTTTTTAAAAGAATCCCATGAATAAAATCATGCATAACATAAGATCTTGTTTTGTATTATGTATTAGAAGTTGAAAAATAATGAAATTGATATGGTTTTAGTCTATTTCTTTTTCTCATAGGAACATAAATTGTTGTCATTATGTTTTATTTTTTTTTGTATAGATAAATTTCTTCGTAAAAATAGTTCATTAGTTTAAACAAGACTATATTCAAATTCATTTTTTACAGTTTAATTAAACTTATTAAAATCTTATATTTAAATAAGAAAAGAAAATATTTTATGAACCGTGAATTATATCAGAATAGATAGAGTAGAGAAAAATAATTTGCACTATTGACGTTTTCTTTTTTTTCGTAATAAATTGTTTGAAACTGGTTACTAAATACAAATATGAATCGTTTAGAACTTAAGTCAACTTTGTAATTCTATCAACTAGGTTTAATATCATATTTTTTTTCCGATTACATTGAAACTTATGTATTTTTGGTCATCTTTCGACCAATTTAGTGTGACAATATGGCAGAGACGTCCATCGCGGCAGCGGCAGATTTTTTCCAAAAACTATCGCGGCGCGGCAGCGGCAGATTTTTTCCAAAAACTATCGCGGCGCGGCAGCGGCGCGGGAGAGATTTTTATTTTGCCGTCGCGGCGGCGGCAGCTTTTTAGGAAAAAATTTCAAAAATTCATGAATTTGCACAGAATCTGCATGTTTATGCATGCTATACTGTAAGACTTAGCGAATCTGATCGATTAGCGGCATCAGTTCTATTTCAAACCAGTCAAAACCTTGAAAATCAAAACATTTTTTCGAATACCAGCGCGGCAGCGGCAAGTTTTTTTTTAAGGCGCGTCGCGGCAGCGGCGCGGTAGCTTTTTTTAACAGGCCATCGCGTCGCGGGAGCGGCAGATTTTGAGCCGCGATGGACATCTCTGCAATATGGATGGCAAAGTATTTATCGCCGATAGTTGTAACCAAACTTTCTTTGTTCTTTTCAACTTGAAATAATTTCATTTATATAACAATCGATAGTCCTTTTGTGAAGCTCTAAAAAGAATCTTATAATGACATGGAAATGAATACATGAACAGAGTGTTAATAGGTACTAAAAAGATAATAGCATAACAAACCGATTCGATCTAGATATTTTTTGAAATCATTTTGGCAACTTTCATTGTTGTTGAAAAACTCAACTCTGATCCGTCACGAGAATATGTGTCAAAAAACGAATTGAAATGAAACTCTGTGTGTAATGATTTCATAATCTTGTTTTTTTAGTTTTATTTAAATTTTGTATGTTTATAGCCCGTTTCTCATGGTCGCTTACAAATGTCAATGGAATTACTTTTTGTTTTTAGATAGATTCTCGTAATATGGATCATGACGAAGATGAAAATTGTCAACATGTATAGATCGATTTAGATTTTTATGCTGATTTCAAATATATATGTTATTTTTCTGATTAACAGTTAAGTTATTCTAATCAGACTGAAGTACATTTGAGTTAAAAAGTGTCATTTTTTCACTGTCTACAAATATTGTGTCCATATATTCATTATGTATTTCATGAAGTTCATTTTCCCATAACAATTGACTTTTGTAGAGCTTCAAAAAGCCTATTGATTGCTATATAAAAGAAAATGTTCTAAAGCGGTAATAAGAGAAAAAAAAATTACTACAGTCGAGTAGCTATGTAATGAACCATAACGACGTGAACTAGTTGCATTTTACTTAAAAATATCACTAAACGATACGATACAATTTTTTTAATAATGGTGGAATGGTCTGTGGTCTTGCACGTCCCCCTACCATTTACAAGTGTGTATTACAAAAATTCTTATCTTAAAAATCTATATATATTGCTTTGTTTTAAAATTATATATTTTGAATATTTGAAGTAATTCGATTTTTATTCCAACAGTTAAATATCGAAAAAAAAAGAAATAAATCGTTAAGAAATGTTAATTAGAAAAAACACATGTATTAAATAGATGATTGTCAATGACAGAAACAGTTCTTCATATGGATGATATATCATAATCATTAAGTAATAGTTCTCAATTTGAATTAATCTTGGAATAATTGAGACACATATGCTTTTGAACTCTTGTCTCTTATAAAATCACTTATATTTTATCATCACTAACAGACGCGAATTTTCTAGATTTAAGTGATCTTCGTATTCACCTATATGTTGTGATCGAATCACAATATACATAAAAATTGCTAATAGATCTTCTGAACATAAAGAAAACTCATCCTAACATACAGGTTTTTCTATAAGTTCTGAGTTATAAAAAAAATTAGTTTATATGTAAACAAAGAATAATTCCTATGTAATTATATCTGTATGAGTTCCGAGTACCCTAAACGATGTGTTCAATAGTTCACTAGTACTTTTAAACAGGTTTTAATGAACGATGAATTCATCGTATATAAGCGTAACAGAATTATACAAAGCGACACCTCATATCTATGGTATAGACGTGGCTATCTTCTATACGCATAAGCTAAGTATCACGTCTTTTCTGTTTATATCACTATTATTCAAAAAGATAATGTCGCTAGATAAAATGCCATTAAATGGATTGTGTTAAATCCTTGTAGCTGCTATAAATATGATTCGGTAGGAATTTCTCTTTGTCTACATATAAACTAATTTTCGTTCATATTCAGAACCTATAAGATATCCTTTATTATCAACTTCTTCATTGTCAATAATCAGAAATGAAGTAAGAATTCTTTATCCTTAATAAGTTTTCGTCATTATGTAATAGAAATAAACAAATTATTTAATTCTAAAATGCTAATTTTTTTTTAAAAGCAAAGATCAACATTTCCTAATATATTTCTTGTTTTCTTAGACGATTATAATTCTTATAGAAACATCTTTCGAAGAAGACATCAATATACGATTTTCGAGTATCTACTCGTCATACATGTGTATGAAGGTTGTATTAGACAAGACTTTCGTATTTATTTTTCTTTCCTTTTAATAAAAGAAATTCATATTTATCCATATAAGTCTCAATTTAAAGCACATATTTTATATCTATTTCTGGTCTAGGATAAAACTTTTATCTGTATAATATAGATTATCTT